TAGTAACGGGTTAAACATTTCCTAATTAAGAGTCCAACCTGAGACGGGTAAAATTTTTCCTAATCACGAGTCCAACTGGAGATGGGGGAATTTTTTCTGATCACGAGACCAATTGGTGACGGATAAAAACTTACCTAATCAAAAGTTAACTGGTGGCGAATAAAAACTATTGTCAATATATATATATAATTAAATTAGATTAAAAACTAATCTAATCAACAATTTCAACGACATAGTCTTTTCCAATCATAAAAAATGACCAAACGAAGACACTGTTTTTCAGAAAACGACAAAAAAATTGTTTTTAAGATCTAAATAGTTCTCAAGCTTAGAAGAGAGTTTCTGTACTGATGTCACCAGTTTCGTTCTGGTTGTATAATGTCTTTTAGATTTACAGTAATTTGCTTTCCCTGTCTCCAACAAACAGTACTTTGTTTTCCAGCAGTCTTAACATGCTGATGAAGACATTATATGGTTGCTGCTTTCACTTTACGAATGCAGAGGAGGTTGATATCTTGCCAGTCGAGTCATGCTGGATTTGGTAAAGAGAAAGTCCTTAAACAATACCTTTGTCAACATTAGGCCCGATGAAGAACCTGGCTTCAAAAAGGTCCGTATCTCAGTGACAAGTCAAGACAGGACCCACCTACTTAAACACCTTTACGTCAAGTTGAGCTGATATTGAGTTTAAGCCTTCATTTGCAATGTTAAATACAACCATCACGTAACAGTTTTTATGATTAACATTGTTTCATCATTTGTAGAAAACAGCTTATCACCCAACACTAAGAAGTGGAGCTACCTCTCTATAAATGACACATTAAACTCATTGTTGATGTAGCTTCTACACCTTTAGAAACCATCATAATGCTTGTTTAATCCTTTATTCATACATCTACATTTGCTTAAGAAATTTCTGTTACCTTTTTAACTTTCCCCCTTTTTTTTAAACATTAAATTTTTCTACCCATAACTGGCGTTTGTCAATGTCTCTCCATCACGTACTTAGATTTAACTCTTAACAACTACGTGTACGTTAGACATTCCACTCCTTTCATACTTTCAGTTTTGAAGAGTACGGATAACACGTGGCGACTAGTAAAGTCTCACAAAATCAGGAGTTTAACAGACATCAAATTAAACCTTATAATCTTCTTAGACGATATCTGAGCTTCTCCTGTAAGCTTCAGGCATAATAAACTTTTAAAAATTCCTGGTTCACACCAGTTACATCCAACAGCCAAGACAAAATATAAATCCTGTAATATCACGCTGTCAGCGAAACATGTCGTCCCCAGTTAGTATATCAGCATTAAAACATTAAAATAAATCCACGAATGAACGTTTAAAACGCAATATCGTTTATAAGAAATTTTAGAAAACGTAATATGTTGTGACACGTTACCTAACGAAGGACGTTCGTTCAAAACACACTTAGATTTGATCATCTACTAATATCGTTTTGTTGTTTAACTTCGTTTTTTTTCACCTGTTGACTTTTACAGTCAGTTCCTAACCTTTTATTATTTTATTCACGAGCGAATATTTTGTATACGTTGTTGCAATACAGCTTTTGACACAAATCATTGTAACGTAACTTTTGGTACAAGCAGTTATCAACAGATTTTGACAAAAGCATTTGTAACACAACTTTTGATACAAAAAGTTGTCTCACAGATATTGACATAAGCAGTTGTAACAAAGCTTTTGACACAAGCCTTTGTAACATATTTTGATGCAAGCCGCGTGCTTTTCACATACGAATTTTTAGCTTTGTTTTTGAAACAAACCGTTGTAACACAGCTTTTGACCAAATGAAAGTTCCTGATAATTCCTGTGTAATGTTGCTTTTCTTCTCTTTACTCTTACTGGTAAAACGATGATTGCTTAGAAACCATAGAATAATAGATGACTATCACAGGCAGAAGATTATTACATAAAATATGATTTACAACGCGATATTTCAAGACAGCAATGAAATAAAAATTAGTGTCTGTGTATGTGTATCTCTGATGCCTTTACATTGCAATGCAATTTATATTTGCAATGGCAATAATTAGCTATATGGAGCGTAACAAATTAAAAGAAATACTTTGAACATTCCTTCAGACATAAAATTTAATTTCAAACATTATTCTTGTATTATAGCCGTTCTTTTCTCTAAAGTAGCAGATCGCGTCTGCCGTCCTTTTCTTTAACGTAACAGATTGCGTCTGCCGTCTTTTTCTCTAAAGTAACAGATTGCGTCTGCCATTCTTTTCTCTAAAGTAACAGATTGCGTCTGCCGTCTTTTTCTTTAACGTAACAGATTGCGTCTGCCATTCTTTTCTCTA